AACTAGCCATTGGAAAATAAGCCTAAAGGCATTCCTGTTACATTTGCCATCCGGCCATGATAATAACAGTTTCACCTTCAAATGCCATATCTGGCCGTTTTCCGAATATATAGTTTCAAGTTCATTTCCCATCCGGCCAATATCGGAACACTCTGAACACTTTCAACGTCATTCGCCATCCGGCGATGTCACGTAAGTAAATTAAGATGTAAGTAAATTAAAACACTCCTACGCCATCCGGCGGTGTCAGACCCAGAAAACATGAAAACAAAAACTGAACAAATACATGCATTTTGATCTATTTAATAATACACTCTTACACTCGTATACTGTATGGGCTAACAATATTAGTCTGAAAAATCGAGAGAACACACCAAAACATTTCCCTGCCAATCTGGCGAACCTAACAACGATTTCGAATTACTCCCTTGGCGTAACGCTACGTTGCCTTTAATTATGATTGTTGTTCTGACAAAAGCCACAAATTGCTTGACTAGTAAAGGCCAGTAAGCCGCCGATGGCCAGTAGGGAGTTACTAACGTTCCCTTACATTTATTCTCAAACATGAACCAAAGAACCCTCGGTACAATCGATATGGGTGGGACAACCCACGCAAACTCGTTGGACCAATCCTGATAAAACGCGTCCACTCCGGTCGTGTCCGGATTCCAAAACCTTGAAAAATATCTGGAAACTTTTGCATTTTTGGAATTTGCAAACAATCCAAAGTGTGAGGACCAAGCTGAGCGTCAATTTGCTCAAATATGCCTGGTACGACTTCCCAGTCATCAAAATCGTTTAACTTGCTAACATAATCGGCTTGTTCGTTTGATGTTCGGGGTATCCACTGCAAATCTGACTGAATATTGGCTGGAAAACACGTAGAAAAGATACTAATTGCTAATTCGTGATATTCTAATTTCATACTCCCGACCTGAGCAATTTTCATTGCTATACTTGACTGTCAGTGAATCGTTTTGCTTTACAACCTGTTAACAGTGGCTCAAAGGCCTGTATAGCCAATTGAATTGCAAGTAGTTCCCTATATGTTGAACTTGTCTCTTGTTCAGATTGTGTGAACATTCTGTGTGCCACATGATTTGTTCCCAAAATGATGGCCCCGCACGCCGTGGCACTGGCGTCTGAACAAATCGTTCGGTTACTGGAAGATGATTCTTTAAAAGATCGAGCATTAACTAATTTTAAGTTTGTTATCCAAAACTGTAGTTCTTGGAGATAGTAGTCGTCAATTAGAAATGTTGTGTCCCAATTAGCTGCACATGCAACAGACATTTGGCAATGTCTGGACAAGATACGAGCCAGCCAAATTCCCTGTAACTGGGCCAGTGGAAATAATCTGTCCCACTACTCTCGCTAATTGCCTCGCTGTGATTCGATGCTGATTAAGAATAGTAGTTATTGCAGAATTTAATTTCTCTGGGCGATGGGATGCAATGGCGATCGTGCCGTTTACGCCATTCCAATCCAAACCTAGTCAAGTAATATTCTGAGTTGGTACCCATATTGATTTATCGTGATTGCCCACTAGGCCTGACATGCAAAGATCTGATTTGATAATTGTGGCATATTCGTGAGAGAGTTCAGGTGAATTTTCCATATCGATGTTATCGTCTAGGAATATTGTAGTGCTAATACCCAAACCACGCCAGTGACGAATGAGGGGACGAAGCAGTTTCGTAAACATATAGGGAGCTGAAGAAAGGCCAAAAGGCAAGACAGTAAATCTATAGTATCGTGTACTCCCATCTGCAGCTAGCTGGATTGGGCCAAGAAAATCCTAAATACGACTGATGTTCAGAAAATATGTCTAAGTGATGGTAGCCGCTCTTTAAATCAAATTTTGTGAAATACGTGCCTGGGCCGAAATAATTAATGGCGGTACGCCAGTCCTCGAATTTGATATTTTGCTTGTAAATATGTTTGTTTACATATCTCAAATCCAATATTAAGCGCTTTTTGTTACTTTCGTTCGTTGCTACGAAAAGTGGATTGATAGCGACCAAGTTCTCCTTACGTGTTTCCACTATTCTACACGTGGATAACAATTCTGATAACGCTTCTGAAACAAAATCGGCGTGAACGTGAGCCGAGCAATTATTAGGAAAAGTCGCTGGCTCCGGGGTAGAATAAAACGGGATCTTGTAACCTCGTATGCAGTCAATGATAAAATCAGGCGCCTTAATATGTGTCCAAAACGCTAAATGGGATTTTAGCCTGCCTTTGACATTTGGCAGACCAATAGCATTGACAGGTTTATGCCTGTCCAAAAATTCAAAAATATATCATAATCCAAATGGTCTACCTGTTCGACGCGTTCAAGTTCCTCACCGAAGTTATCATTTACCACTATTTCCGGCTTTAAATCCGTATCCAGAAGATTCCCCAAAGTTGGAACCTTTGGTTGGGATGAAGGTATGCACACCGGGTCTTTGCCTGCCGAACTTGTAACAGTTTTCGGCCCAATGCCCTCGTTTTCCACACCGGAAACATGTGTCGGTTGCGTTAGGAAAGCGACGGCCTGAAATGAAATAAAATAAAACACTTGCAAGGATGCATAACTAAAGACTTGCAATTAATTTTGTAAAACTAAGAAGGCTGTCTGTGCTACACGTGATGGCGCTACAGTATTTTCACTCATATTTATAGTGCTATGCAAATTCGTATACTAATTTGCATCCTTATTATTACGCTACTTCCGCAGGAAAATTCATTTGGGATGGGTCGTCAAAGATAATACGCTTATTATCAAATTTCTTAACTTCCAATGCAGTTTTTAGTTTATTCCCGAGCCAACGGCGTGGAGCGCCGTTCCGTGCGTAAGCTCGGGGGTAAATTCCGCCCGGCATTTACACCCGTGGGAAGGAAAGCATTAGCTAAATCTAAAGTTCATCAATGATCGCAGGCGCGGGTCATTGTGCATGGGTGGTCATCTCAAAATATGGCTGCTCGCCAGGAGTGAAGGAAGGGAAAATATAAAAAAAAAATGTAAGAGAGCCTGGAAAATTGTTTTACATAACAAATTTTAAAACGTTTTCATGTTTTAAACGTACACATTTATAAGAATTGATTTAGTATAAGAAATGCTAAAGTATAGGGCAAGTTTGATTCAGTTGTTTATGTGTGACTAATATTTTAGCTCACTCACACTTAGCTCCCCTAATCTTTTAGCTCACTCACACTCAATGAGTGGAGATTCAATCAAAGGTTCTCTTGAGTCTCAATGCTGTTTTTGAATAACTAGAGGGTTAGTGTCGTACCTTACTCTGTGACTACTCACACTCCAGCTATTCAAGGAACGTACACTTTGTACGTATTTTCCGCAGCCCCAACGGGTTGACAAAGTAAAAACAACACGATTTACAAAAAAATTCAATATATTTAGAACAATTGCCTCCTGAAAGAGGTATGCTTTGATCTTGGATTTAAACAAATTGATAGAATTTGTAGCCTATCGCGTCATTTCGGGGCTGCGATGGAGAATGCCCTCTCTCTTCAAGTAGTTGTTGAAGATCTTGGTAAAAGAGCATTTTCAATTCACAAGGACCAAACAGTGTCAAAGTATGATATTACAGGTGCCACGAGTGAAGACTCAAGTAAAATCACAATCATAAGGCAATTTTGAATACTCAATTTTGGTGTAGCTAGGAAGAAAATGAACAAAGGTATACTAAATACACCGACAGCCAAATCGACCGCAGATTGCAACAGAATGACAAAGTAACACAGCTTGTTCTTAAGTTGAGATGAATTTCTGATTGTTATCACAGAAAGCAAGATTAGGTGTGTTGTGAGGAATATCAAAACAACATTGAATACAATAAGTATTATTATATACACAAGGTCTGGATATGAGGTATTCTGCAATCTGATTTGTTCTCTACTAGCAGGATATTAGCTCATATCCTGCTAGTAGAGAAAAACAAAATGGCGGCTCAAACTGAATTTCCGACCTTTTAGCGAACGAGAAAACGGCGAGTTGTTCGCTTTTTATAGCCTCTACCGAATTAAAAACACAATAAAAAAATCTCTCACACATTGCTTACAGGTTAGCAAATGAATTTTGAAAATTTAAAATGGTTAAAAATATATATTTTTGAAAAATAATCGGCCGAAAGAGCGAAGATAAAAACATAAACAAAATACAAAAATATTGAAAATATCTGAAAAGCAAAGTCTGTGAATTCAGACCTTGTGTACATAATAAAACAGTTATTCCACTCACTCTCGTCGAATATGAGCGATAGATAGCCGATTCGGCGCTACGCGCCTCATCGGCTATCAGCTCATATTCGACTCGAGTTCGTAGAATAACTGTTAAATATTTGATTCACTACCTGTATACCAATTGGCAATTCTGTTAATGATTGATATCCATTGTTTCCAACTTTCATGTACAAGATCAGGGCAATTCGAATGAGAGCTCTCGTTTACTTCATTATACTGAACAATGTTTTGGCATGTCGTGGAGAATATCAAAACAACATTGAATACAATACGTAATAGCCAGCCTAGACCTAGGCCTTCTATTTTTATTTTTATTTTTATTTTTTTAAGATTCAGCGCTTTTTCACATGAAAAGACTGGGACCAGGTGATTTGGGGGCGGGGCGGAGGAAGGACACAAGCCTGACGCAAGCGGAGAAATAGAAGGCCTAGTGGATTTCCCAACAACAAGGCCAAAACTGCCCTGAAACTGCCCTGGTTGCGAAATGCTCAATTATTGCGTTCTCAAACAGAATTATTTGCAACTTAACAGCGAATTTAAACCGATACAGGTAAAATAAACTCATTTATA